GGAATGCAATATGATGGGATGCAAATTAGGATAAAATCTACAGGACTTATTTATAGTAGCCCCTTTACCCCTGCCTCACAGCATAAGGTGACATTAAGGCAGATGGAAATGTAATTTATGCTCACTTTTAAGCCCTCTCAGGCTGTCAGAAAGTTGTGAAGTGGGTTTGGGCACATGAGAACTGGGTCCATGGCATGTAATAGAGCAATGTATCCTTCCTATAGAATTCTCTTTACAAGACACAATTTTCTCTTCAACTCAATTGGAAATAAGTATCTTATTTTGAATTACACACTAGACAAATTCAGTATGCAAGACGCTGAGTTAAAATACAATAGGTGCTATTCAAAAAACCCCTCAATATCTACCAACAGCGTTCAAGGTTATTCAGTATCCTAAATTCAGGAAAAATGCTAAATGGGGACAAAATTTGGTTTTTTAATGATGGCTGTTGTCCATCAAAATGTCATATACAGTTATTATCTCTCCACATTTGATATTACCTACCAAACTCCTATTTATTCACAGGTGCACTATGGACAACATAGCGTTCATAATATCTCCCTGCCTCATATTCTGGAGGTAAAAGGAAAACTGATTCTCTGTGGCAAATGAGTGTTTTGTGTTTCTGTTGGGATTGCCAACAGTGGTGTCAAATAGTGCAAATTGCAAGGGGCAATTTTATAATGAGGATACATGTCCACCAGGAAGGACATTAGAATAAAAGTTAGCCATCTTTTTGGTTGCGTAGCCATTGGTTATCTCTATCAGTTGATCCTCACTGGATTAGAAATGACAGGTTAAAAGTGAAGAGCATCCATAGCGCATCATCAATTCCCTGACTTAAATATCTTTTTTTTTTACCAACAAACAATATTGTGAAGATTGTGCCTGACTGAGAGAAACTGCTTTTGAATTTGAATTTTTGGGCCAACTTCATCTTCTTGTTTTTAACTTATTTTAAAATTTAAATTTGTTCTGAATACAGTCCTAAAAGCTTTCCTCTATTGATTATTATGTATGACTGACTGATAAACATCAATCAATACACGTATAGTAGTTATATATTCATAAACAGACACACACACACGTGTATGTGTGTATGTATGTATGCGTGTATGTGTATGTGTTTCATAGGCAATAGAACCTACATATAATAACATATTATTATAATTATTATATGGTAGTAATGATAATATATTACTATGACTTACTCCCAAAAGTGAGGAGTTCTGACCTCATGTTTTGAATTACAAGTGAGATTAAATGTCCACGCTGCATTGTTGAGCATCTATGCATGTTTCAATTAAGAGAATTTTTTCCACATGAAATGAACACTGGCACTTATTGTGAAAAGCACATACATATATAGATATAGGCAGAACATGCATTTGATTAGAACAATACACATAGTTGGTGTTTTAAGAGCACAGTATTTTGTGATAAAATTAAAAATAACATATCCAATGGATGGAGAGGCTCCCCCCACCCCGATGAAGTGGATCCAGATAGTGGATCTGTCAGTGTTACGGCATGCTTCACAAATCAACAGAAAGTGATCAAAAGAAAAAGAAGTCAAAATATTTTTGAGTAGCATAAACTATTTGTACATTTCTCAAGTAGACAAAAGGAACCTTTAGAACACAGTGCCACAATGGAGCAGGCCAGCACCCAGCACCCTATCTGCATCCAGAATATGTGGTCAAAATAAAAACATGAAAAAACCCCAGAACTATCTTTTCTTTTTTAAATATTAAATTGAAAAGTCCCAAGCTGTGAAGTATGATTATATCTCAGAGGGTAACTCAACAGTTTTTAGAACAGGCATATAATCACATTTGAGAAAGTACAAATACTTTAGAGTACTCAAAATAGAATACAGTGGCTGATTTAGCTTAGAACAGTGCGGGGAAAAATATGGCAGTAAATTTCCAAACAGTGGAAAAAATAAGTGTCCAAAAAGTTAACACAACATGTGTCAATTACATGAGTTAGTTGATTCCACTGGATAACATTTTCTAGACAATTTATTTTCACACGTGTGTAACGTGTACTGAAAATCTCTAAGAGACAGTGGCAAATTCTAAAATCCTCCATAGTTTCTCTCTCTCTCTCTCTCAGAAAGAAGGAATTAGGACTAGCTCTTATGGGGCGCTTGTACACATGATGGGGGTTTAGTCCTCTAAATTGAAACAGTGAGTTTTTAATTGTGATGATTAAAAACCCACTGTTTCAATTTAGGGGTTTCTGTCACTGTTACGGTGAGGGACCTGATCTTTTTTTTTTGTTTTTTTTTTTGCAGAGCCTGCCTGTGTCTCCCACAGCCAGGAGGCAGGTTGCTTGCAGACTGAGCATCCCCTGAGCTGCAGAGGTGGCCCTGATCCTTCCCTTTGTGGTGACAGTGCCCCCTGGGGCCAGCTGTTGGGGGTTGCTAGTAAGCCGGGGTGTCCCAGCTTGGAGATCTACCCCACCAGATCTAACTCTTCCCTGAGCCCACCCAAGGAGCAGCGCTCTGCGGGCTTCCAGCAGGCGGCTTGCAGAAGACTTGGATCTGGCAGGCTGCTGCCTCCAAGCTGAGGCAGCCCCCAGCTTGCTAGCACTCGGTGACCCCAGGGGACGCTGCCACCATTGAGGGAAGGACAGGGGCCCTCTGCAGCACAGGGCCTGTGTGGCCCGCCAGCAGCTTGTGCAGGCAGGCTCCACCAGGAAACAAAAAAAGGGGCAAGAGGCCCAATCCTCTCTTTTTTTTTTTGCAGAGCCTGCCTGCCCCTCCTGCAGCTGGGGGGTGAGCTTCCGGTGGGCCCTGAGCTGTGCGGGCCCCTGGTGCTTCCCTCCATGATGGCAATGCCCCTCAGGGATGCCCAGGTGGGTAGGTAGTGGGTGGGTGCTGTCCCAACTCAGAGGAAGCACCCATCCCAATCCAACTGTTCCCCAAGCTCAAGCTGTCAAACGGCTGCAATGTTACAAATAGCTACATTGCAAACTAAACTACATGCAGCTGTTGTTTAGTTTGCAATGTAACAAATTCATTTAAATTGTAATAAAACCCTGCACATGCACAGCATGATGCAATTAAACCTCAAAAACGGTCTTTTTTTGTCACGTGTACAAGTCCCCAAGGATTCTCTGTAGACCTCCTCTGCCTCAACCTCTAGGTTCCTCTTCCTGCGAGAGAGGGATAATACAACTCCTTTTATACCTGGCTGAAGTGAATATAACACATGTCTCTCTAGGACTCAGCACTAATTACATTGGTACCTTGAGGCATTGAATACCTGTCTGATTCACCAGGTAAGCCCTGTGGCCTCATTCAAGGAAATAGAACCTGCCACACTGTTTTAGAGGTTAAAGTTACTTTCTTTCTTGGGTTTCTGGGTTCTAAACTACAATCAGCACATCATTAAAAAAAAAAAAGAAAATCTTTTTATCCAGCCAGATTGCCACATTTGTTGCACTATGCTAGTTTCTTAGTACAACATCAATAAATGGCCACTTGTAGAGGGACAGACAGAAGTCCATTTGTGAAAGCAAGCCACAGCTTACAGGGGAAAATATCACCCCTCCCAATTATTATACCCTTACAGTGCTCTTGGAACGAAATGGATTTCTGGAAAAAAATAAATGAAAGATGGAACCAAGTGGAAAGCTAAATGCATGGAGAAATTCTCTGGTTTCAGGCTTTTAATTTGCTTGCACACATGCCATGCTGCCTTTGTGGACAAAATGGAGAGGTGATTGGAAAAGGAGATTCCAGTTGCATCAGGTGGTACAGAAGGTTGTGCTTATTAGGAGCAAGACAGAATGCAAAGATGTGTGCTCTCCGTGTGACATTTCAAGTAGCACATACTGTATATCTGAAAACTCTTGGTGGTGGTGGGGAATTAATTGAGTTACTGAGATGTTTATTATTTATGGAGATAAACAATTAGGAAGAATCAAACCACCTTTTTGTTCTAACTCTTCCAGTGCTGAAGGAACACACACTTTATCATGAAAAACACTCTCTTATGGCAGTATCCAGAATAAGAACTGATATACGAACGTAGATTGACTGCATTCTATCTGTTGTTGGAAGAGATATTAATTTGTAAATGCTGCCAAGAACTATGCATGTTTAAGCAGAAATGAAGGGGCCGAGCATTTCTGCATGTCAATGTTTGTTAAAGATATGATATATCTGATTTTCAGTTTGTTCCATTCCTCACACTGCTTCATTTCACATGCTCACTTATCTTCTGTGGCAAGCTACATCAGGTGGCACCAGGAGGTTTAATTTAAATAGAAAGCTGGCATTTTCTGGATTGCCAGGCAAATGAATCCTGAAGAGAGCACATCTGAGATAGTGGCTTCATTCTATTTACACTGACCTCTCAATAAATAAGTAATAAAATAGAATTATAATAGTGTATTTGTGGTCCCCAAAGTGTTATATCACATAATTTAACATGAACGGTGACAATGGTAGTGAACAAGGTCACAGAGGAAGGGGAATAGAATGGATCAAACCCTTGGCTAGGGTAAAGCAGTGCAATTCCATTCAGTCCAGCACAGCGACATTGATTTATGTCAGCCAAAGACCTGGCCCAGAATTTTCACAGTGGATATTCAATATCAAGCTGAATAAAATGTGTTAGCTCCAAAATCAAATCAATGGATGAAAATAAGGAGTGGATTATTATTTCCTAGCTATACCAATGAAGTTATCATGGATACCTAGGATTTTCCCCCTAACATCAAAGAGGAATCACTTAAATGATATGAGATAAATTTATCATTAGAGATTTATTATTAAGTCATTAGAAAGTGCCACTGACACCTTCTAAAATTGACGCCCCACTATTAATAGCCACTGATAATAGCTTTTTTATGAGCATCTTCTGTGATGAATGAGTCCTCTACCCTGAGCCATTTATTGAAAACATACAAACAATCTTGTAAGACATCACCTGATCAAAGTTTGGTACCTGACTTTGGAGTATGAGAATCATAAACTTGCTTACGGTCTATCTGGTCTGCAAACACTTCCCCATAGATCATCCAATAAGGCATGTAAAATATGTTCTTTGCCAGCTTCCATGAAGGCTCTTCATTGGGGAACAGAATTGCCTGTCTTGCAACACCAAAGCTCATCAGAACCACCAACATAATGATGACAAAATACATCATGTCTATCATCTGAAAAGTACAGGATGGAAAAAGAGAGAAAGAGAGGAGGGGGAGGGGGGAAGTATTAGAGAGAGTTATTTGACTACAATTAAACTATGGTATGATTGAAAAATGGTTTGTAAAGTTCATGAGTGTGGTTTTCAAAAATTATTTCTGAGACTACTACCTCCGTTTTACACAGAGGCAAGAATTCTTGAGGGCCTTTATACATCTGCACAGAAATTTATCAGTGTAGACACTAAGGGTGTTTTTACACATGCTCCAAGGGCACCTTAATTATAGTGGTTCTGAGAGCCGCTTTAATTAAACTGCCCATAGCATGTTGTGTATCAGTGTCCCTGTGCTTCATAATAGCGGCAGGGGCACTTTAGTTAAAGCTCATTCGACAAGCTTTAAAATGCCCCACTACTATTTTGAAGTGTGGAGACACTGATACATGAGATGAGGAGGCTGGCTGGAGCACACTATTTAGCACACTCCAGCAGACTTGATTAATTGAGTCTGCTCTGATGCACTGTAATTACAGCATATACCCTGAGGAAGAGTATCGTGATACCCCAAATCTTGCCTATGTCTATCCCAGATATGTGGTTCTTCCAATATAAGATATAACCCACAAGAATTCTTCCTTTTTGTATATCTCTTGGACCATCATGGCAACAATATCACCTCAACACTACCACTTTTACACATACAAGCTGTTCAAAGGTGGGGATTGGGGACTTTGGGTTCATTGTTCTTGCCTGAGTTGATTTGCATCTCGACTTTCAATGCTCAGGACCCATAGGTTTGGTAAGATAAGCTGCCTTTTGACTGCCCAAGTTATCAGGGATGATTACAACTTCACTGCTGCTTATGGCTCAGTCTTGGCAAGATGAAGCATAAGTTTTTGTGGCAAGTGGTGCATTGGCTAAGGTCACAGCAGGAATAATTTGTGGCAGAACAGCCTCTTGCAACATTATGGACTGGCACAGTAGTTACTGGTAAGGTGACAAAGTTGGTATATTGACAGAAATAGAGATTAGTATATTTACTAGGTGTCTAGCAGAGGATGGAGTGCTTAGAGGAAGGGGAAATTTTCAAAAGGTGATATACAAATAACCCAGGGGGCTCAACTCTGTATCTCCACTGTCTGGCATCTCATTAGAGTATGAAAATCCCTACTTATTGGCTGCAGAATGTATTCAGAGAAGTGCTTAGAAAAAGTTGAATATTCTCAGTGTCCCAAATGCATACAGTAGGCACAAGAAGTACTGCTTAGCTGTAGGTGTGAGAACCCTAAGGGAAAGCATTAGAGGATGGGAAACTCCTGGGAGTGCCTGTAACATCTCTCGTAAGTGCTATATAAACTAAAACATAACTAAGGTAACAACTTATCTGAACATAAAAAACTGGGGAGCAACTGTAGAACTCTCTATAAAGTCCTGTAGTCTTTTGGCTGCATCTACATGAGATGCTGACTGTGCACTAGCCTGTGATTACTTTGCAGTAACATTGCATGGCAGGAAGCATGATGTGATGCTATTGCGCAGTAGTCATGAGCTCCTATGCAGTCAGTGTCACAAAAAAGCCATTCCTTAGTGCAAATGTGCAGTAACTCCAGTATACATGCCAGAGTATGTAGTGTACATATTAGTATGTATGTATGTATTAGTACTCCAGTATAAACAAGTACTAAATAGTTGTGCAGTAACAACTGCACAGTCAGCGTCTCATGTAGACATAGCCTACATGTGCTTATCATGAGTAAGCAAATTGCACCAAATAAACAAAAAGCAACCCAAATCTTTGCCCAAAACTTGACCTAACTACTTTTGAGGCTTAAAAAAGGTTTGGTTAACATATGGGAGGAAGGGGAAGATTTTCAAGACAATTCTGTGCTTTGTGGTTCTAGCTGCAATTGGGAATTGCTTTGGAAATCATACAGAAGCGTGCACTTATAGTTTCAAATTAGCATGAAGTCACAACCCTTGTAAACTGGCTCCCTGGTTCTCTGCAGCCACCTGCAGGTGGACAAGCTCAGCTCAAGGGCTGATAGATACAGAGGAGTATGACACAGGTTAGAGGAGGCTGAGGAGGAGCACAGCACTACAGTGACATATATGGAAGTGCTGGAATTGCTGCCAAATACCTCAAATAAATAGAGAATAGGGGTCAAAACGTGTCCGGAAAGCTCACCTTACTGCAAGGGGGGAGAAAGAGAGAGAGGAGAGACAGAGGAGAGAGCAAGAAACTCAAACAGAAAGGATAAATGCATTTCTGTATTTGTACTGAGACTCAGGCCAGAGTGAAGGGAAGGGACTGGTGGGAGAAGGGTCTGGCTGGAGATACTATGAGGAGCTTGAAAGGAAAGAATTGAGGAATGTTTCATTTTCTCATGGGGTTGAGCCATTAGGAACACATTACTCCAGTGTGCACTGGCTCCCAATACTTTTCTGGGCACAATTCAAGGTGTTGGTTTTGACTTATAAGGCCCTAAAGGTTCCACCTCAATTCCTACGGTCAGCTGAGAGCCACCTCCTGCAAGTATCATAGGTGCACAAAGCTCACTTCACAGAAGAAGTGGGAGGTCATTCTTGGTAATAGTTCCTCTGCTTTGGAACTCCCTTCCCATCATAGTTTATCAGAGCCCAAGCCTGGACATCTTCCAAAACCTTTTTATTTGGGCAGGTGTTTAGCAAGCAAGGTAATTTGGGGTATTGTTTGGGAAGTTTTTATTATAGAATTAAATATCTCATTAAATACTTTATCTGATTTTATGAGTTACACATTTCCCAGTAAGCCTCCCTAAGCATTTTTTTTGGTCAAGGACTGTGTGCAAATCTAATAAATACATGCATAAATAAAACCAAAGGGATGAAAAAAATGAAAACAAATATTGAGATGGAATGACAGGAAAAGGAGGAAGATGGGAACCAAAGAGAGATGAAGTATAATGAACATATATAAAAAGTAAAGGACACTTTGTGATTAGCATATTTCACTGTATTTATTGGTATGTGCAAATGTAATTGAATGCTATTGGGGAAGAAGAGAGATACAGTTTGAGACCTATATTCTGGATGGTGGTGGAGGGTTTTGTTCTGCATAAAAATACTGATAAAGGAACCACTTGGGGCTAAAACATGTTTGACAGCAATACTGGCAAAATACCTAAATAGTTTTGAGAAAGGGCTCAATCAGTTTATGAAGGGGACTGTATGTGACATGGGTTACCTGTGATGGCAGAAAATTGGACTGGATGACCACAGGTGGTCCTTCTATTCCTGTGCTCCTTGAAGTGTTAATCTTAATTAAGAAAGACCATTTGAAGACCATGATGAAAGATGAGGCCCAGCAGTTTTTCACACCTCAGTCTTTACTGATATCCAGAGAAAAAAGGTGGAGGGAAGCACATTGCCAGTTTTTTTCTCTCTGAGTTCAGGCAGGTGGACATACATTTCAGGCAAGTAATCAAAACATTTGATGGTTATCTGAAGCTATCACAGAAAAGCTCTTAACCTTCCCCTGGATACTTAACAGCATTCATGGTGCTAGAACCCTTCCTAATAGAAACAAGAATTCTTTTTTTTTTTCCGGTCATTTTATACATAAGCAGCACAGTAGGTATCTTCAGTCCTTTTCATGGGCCTAGTCTAAAGCTTGTTGATGAGTCTTTCCATTGACTTTAGCATGTTTGCCTGTTGTGTTAAATTACAATAGCTAGTTTAACTGTTTGCTTCACTTTTACTCGTCTGAACATTTTAATCATTTATCTAGAAAAGCTCCTGGAACTAGTAAAATGCAACTCAGTCCTGTATCAATATACTTAATAGAGCTCTGAATGTATAAAATCAGCCTCACTGTAATTCTTAACTTGTTGACAAAGAAATAAAGTTTGGAGGCTGAAGTGTGTATGCAAAGGTAGCTAACTCATTTCTTACTCTCTTGACAGCATGTCAGAGCCATTTCATTCTACCCACAAATGGAAAGGGTGTAATTATATTATCGTCTAAAAATCAAAGAGATAGATTTTGATGAACATATTCAATCACTGAAATAAGTAGAAAAATCAGGTATTTCTCAGGCACTTGCTTTACATCTCTTTACTTTTGTTTTATACCATCACTTTTAACTCACATGTGCCCCTTCCCTTTCTTGATTAAACTTAAATTGAAAAATTGCATATACTGTTTAATGTGTATTTAATATTTTAATAATCAGCAATGCAAATTATTTCTTATTTATCCTGTAGTAGCACCCAAAGAGCCCAGTAAGAATTGGTGCTGTACAGACACAGATAAAGAGGCAGTCCTTAATTTACTTATGTACACTGAAATCAATGCAATAGGAGGAGGAGTGAAGCCAGAGAGAGGTGTCTGATGCCTGGAGTTTCTACAACTTTGCTTATAATTTAAGCTCCAGCGTAAATATAAACCATGTGCAGATCCAGATTCTACACATTTTTGAGAATCTGTCCTTACAATATATTTAATCCACTAAATTTTCCATCGTGATGTGCATCCCACATGTGTGCCATGAAAGATGTTAACTATAACCCAAGGAACTAAAATGAACCATAGATTGAACAAAAATGTAGCCAGTGAACCAAACAGCCCAGAGCAAGCAGGTGCAAATCCCATAGAAGTCTATGCATGATATGAATAGGACTGACAGGTTTTATATTGGCCAGAAAACAAGTGTGAGTTACAAATTTGTGCCACTCACACCAGTTGGGCAGTCAGTGAATGGGCAAAATGAATATGTTGGAAATGACTGAGTGCATAAAAACAAGGGCTTTTGGGGGGTCTGCTACAGACCACCAAACCAGGAGGATGTGGTGAATGAGGGTTTCTTCAAAGAGCTAGTGCAAGCTTCCTAATCACAGGCCCTGGGTCTCATGGGGGACTTCAATCACTATGCTGGGACAGCTGGTGGGAGAGCAATACAGCAGTGCACAGGCAATCCAGGATGTTTTTGGAAAGTGTTGGGGACAACCTCCTGGCGCAAGTGCTGGAAAGGCCAACTAGGGGCCATGCTCTTCTTGATCTGCTGCTCATAAACAGGGAAGAATTGTTAGAGAAGATAGCAATGAACGGCAACTCGGGCAGAAGCGACCACAGGATGATTTGAGTTCAGGATCCTGAGGAAAGGAAGGAAGGAGAGCAGCAAAGTAAGGACCTTGGACTTCAGAAAACCAGACTTGGCTTGGAAGGGTACTCTTCACCAAGGTAAAACACAAAAGTGAAGCTTATAAGAAGTGGAAACTTGCACAAACAACCAGAGAGGAGTACAAGAGTATTGCTTGGGCATGCAGGGATGAAGTCAGGAAGGCCGAAGTGCAATTGGAGTTGAAGCTAGCAAGGGATGTGGAGGGTAACAAGAAGGGTTACTACAAGTATGTCAGCAACAAGCTGAGGATCAGGGAAAGTGTGGTTCCTTTACTAAATGGGGGGAGGCAAGCTAGTGACAAAGGATACACAAAAGGCTGAAGTACTCAATGCTTTTTTCACCTCAGTCTTCACAGGCAAGGGCAGCTACCAGACTACTGTACAGGGCATCACAGTCTGGGGAGGAGGTGAGCATCCAGCACTGGAGAAAGAACAGATTAGGGACTAGCTGGAAAAGCTGGATGTGTACGAGTCCATGGAGCCAGACAGGAGGCACCTGAGTATGCTTAGGGAGCTGGCTAATGTGATTGCAGAGTTGCTAGCCACCATCCTTGAAAACTCCTGGTGACGGGGAGCGGTCCTAGATGATTGGAAAAGGGCAAATATACTGCCCATTCTTTAAGAAAAGGAAGAAGGAGGATTCTGGGAACAACTGACCAGTCAGCCTCACCCCAGTCCTGGGAAAAATCATGAAGCAGATCCTCAAGGAATCCATTTCTAAGTACTTGGAGGAGAACAAGGTGATTAGGAACAGTCAGCGTGGATTTACCAAGGGCAAATCTTGCCTGACCAACCTGATTGCCTTCTATGATGAGATGATTGGCTCTGTGGATGCAGGAAGACCAGTGGATGTGATATATCTTGACTTTAGCAAGGCTTTTGATACACTCTCCCACAACATTTTTGCAAGCAAATTAAGGAAGTATGGGTTGAATGAGTGGACTGTAAGGTGGATAGAAAACTGGCTAGATCATCAGGCTCAAAGCGTAGTAGACAATGGCTCAATGTCTATTTGGCAGTCAGTATCAAGTGGAGTGCCCCCAGAGGTTGGTCCTGGGTCCAGTTTTGAACAAGGAGCAATGGTCTCAAGTTTCAGCAAGGGAAGTTTGGGTTAGAAAACTCCCTGGGAGGGTAGCAAAACACTGGAACATGTTCCCTAGAGAGGTTGTGGAATCTCCATCCTTGGAGATTTTTAAGACCCAGCTAGACAAAATCTTGGCTGGGATGATCTAGTTGGGGATGGCTCTGGTTTGAGCAGGGGGTTAGACTAGATAACCTCCTAAGGTGCCTTCCAACCCTCATTTCTTTGATCCTATGATTCTAAGGATGAAGTAGGAAAACTAAATAGCAAGAGGGTGTAAGATAAAACAGCCTCCCCCTACTTTGTGTCCATAACAGCTCCTGTGCTTTGAGAGCTAAATTCAACTCAACTAAAGGGGCGGGGGGAAGGAGTGACCATATTAATGCCATTGCCAAATTTCCCAACTTATGGGGAGACCCACAGGCCAGATGTGATGCTCCACAGGCTACATTTGGCCTGCAGGCCAGACATTGAGCACCACTGCTATAGACTAACAAGGTGGTGTAGAGTAATACTCACTGTGCACAAGCAGGGATGTCAAAGAGATGCTAACTACATCAGTTTTTCTACTTTTACCCATTTCTAGGCCCTCCTGCACCCAAAGTACAACATACACCATCATTTCTGTCACTGCTGAATTGGGCCTAGTGGCAGTTATGTCAATCAATCATTATGTGGACTGTCAGAGCCTGAACCATTAGGGGCCTATCAATCTGTCATCTTAAACTAGTTTTCAGGCTGCTGTTGTTGACAATATGAGCATAATTAAGTGCCTGTTTTGGCTTTAGTGGTAAAACAGAGGAATACATAGCTATTTGGCATTTTTCTTTAGCTTTATGAAACAAACAGCATCAGACATAATGGTCATTTGTATCAGATCCTTTTGTCCTTCTTCTCATCCTTGAATCCTGTTTTCTCATTCTAGCAATCTACAGCTGCATGAACAGAACTACTGAGTGCTTTGTAGGTAACTGCAGTTCTGGGAGGTCCCGCTATGTAATCGTGGTTTCCTTGGCTTCCCTCGTGGAAGTCATAGATTCTCAAAATCCTTTTCTTCAGGAAATGCTAGTTTTCAAACAGCCTCTGTTGTGGTCTGGTCTTTCTCTCTCTCTTAAAAACATTCTTTCTCTTTGATTTTACACTAATCAGCCTGGGGACTTACTCCCATGCACCAAACAGACAGTGACCTTATTGCATTTGTAACACTGGCAGGAAGAGAGCCAATAATGGGACTTGTATTCAGTCTTTGTATATCATAGATCATGGGGTGTTTCTGGTATTCTCATCTTGAAGTACTGGGGGGAAGGGCAAGCGTTTGAATATGAGAGAAGAGATATGTTCGGTCTTCATGTAAGTTGATTGAGCTGTGTCTGTTGTATGTATTCAGTATATACCATGGAAAATTAGGGTCACAAAAGAATACTTCCAAATTATAATATACTATTTGCTTTACTATTAATAAAAACATGAATATGTGTTATTTGCAAAGTTAATATTTACTTTGCCCGTATTTATGGTGCATAGGGCCAAGACATATTCAATACTGATTTTTTAAAGTGTGGTTTAATGATCTGAAATACACGAACCAATTCTTAAAAATAAAAGCCAGGGACCTGCACACAAAACATGATAAGCACATAAAACTGGTGAACCCAAAGAGCTAGTCACTTAAGTACCCGTACAGTTTTACATGCAGTAGTGTACTAAACTATAGCTGGCTCTGGCCACTTGGACCTGAGTTTTTGCATTTTGAAAATGTGCTCCTACATACCTAAAACCTAAATTAAGGCCACATTTCTGCTGAGTTTTAAAAAAAATGCAAAAGCTCAGTTATGGTTCTCACACCATTTGTAACTTAATCCTCTTGATATTGTGTATCAGATGTGTACATGCATTCCTGCCCTAGGCATGTGCACTATAGATGAGTTGGAGATGCTGTGGTCACATGGGTGGATTTTCAGATAATCACGGGAAGGGATCCTTTTGGGGGTTCCTGGGGGATGCAGGTTGCCCCTGTGATAGAACCATGCTCTGCAGCAGCAACAGAGACCTCCTCGCAAAACCCATGCAACATGGGTGAGAATTATGATCCTCTACTTTATGCATGGGTAAACTGAGGTACGCAAGAAATTTTCTGTTGAAAGGGAGTCTTTGAGCATGACATGAGAAATATAAAAGCCCGGTTTAATAACCAGTAGAAGGTCAGAGGAGAGAAAGATCCTAATCTCCTATACTGGAGGATAACCTTGGGCATTCTAGTTTGTTTGTCTGCAGCTATAATGGAAAGCAATGATTTTTGGGGTTACATGACAACACTGTTCTGTGAAATATATACAAAAAGAATGTATTGAGTTGAACTGAAACAGAGTCAAACAAAAGCATGGAAAGATCAATGAGACTTCTCTTACCATTTTCCCAATCATCATCACATATGGTCCCAAATACTTGTTCACTCCGAAGATGTCTAACAAACGTATGTACCAGTAAATGATGTTCACGCAGTATATGACTCTCCCGTCACTCCGGAACGGTTGATCCTGCAGGCGAAGCACCATCCCCACAGAGAACAGGAGAATGGCTATGAGATCTGTGACATTCCAGTACTCCTGGAGCCACACCTTTACCTTCTGTAACAGCTTCCCAGGCTCTGACATCAATATCTAAAAGATATGGAAGAGGTAAAGAACCAAGATTTGAACCAACTTCACTAAATGCTAGAGAAAGCCCCAGGTAATCATTGGTATATCACACAGTCCCAAAGTGAGCCGATAGAACCTGATGATGTTTATGGATATCTTACAAGTTTCTGGTGCCTCTTTAGAAATTGGATGGTCTAAGGAATCACGTTCCATCTCTAATCTATGTGCAGGTCAAAAGTTTTTCCTTTATAAAACAAAACAATATATGTCACTCAAATCCATGAGAAAGGACTGGAATTTCAATATCCCTTTCCAATTCTCAAATTGATTGATCCTAATTTGAAGCAGGATTAGGTAGCTGGAAATGTATTGCAGCAGAAAATCCATATTTATGGAAACTACAAAAAAGTGCCCAAAAACTGCATAAAAGTACCGTGGAATTTATGATGAATAATAAGGACCTTAATTTGCATTTCATCCAAAAGATTGATGCTTTTACTTGAACAAACCTTTGACAATAGTGTTCCACAGCTGGGAAAATAATGCATGAAAATCATTCATTCTATGAATTTAGTCACTTCTCTGCAAAATCATGTGTGAGCAGGTTACTGTTTTCCTGAATTTGTCATTTGAAGCTATTCACCAAACGGTTTCCATGAATAATTCCTTGCCATTAGCTTGTTTGCAAGCAGCTTGCTTTGAGTAGTCTATATTTAGAATTTGAGCATGTTCGAGCAGACTCATACGGTATATTTTTGCTCCTTGAAAAGAACAAGTGCAATTCTTAGAATTAGGTTTTCAGTATGGATTTCAGATTATTTTTCTATGAATAATCTCCAATATTCACTTAGAACTCTAGCTTCACAAGCATTCTTGCTGGAATATTTGTGGAGAGAACAGCTGAAGTGAATGATTAGAAAAGAAAAGAAACAAATATTCACAAAAAATATTTAACTGAATTCCAATGTAGCTGTTTACCAGTGCTGTGGAGCCCTCTTGTGGTTGCTTACTGATGTCTTTTTCTTTAATGCAATATGTTCATCACAATCCACTCAACCAATGTCCTACCCCATCATGCTGTAATTCTATTTATTTTATTTATAACTATAATCTACTGTAAATCTTTTTGAAGGCAATATTCAGTTTTAAGCAACTGTTTTAAAATACCTTTCTCAGTAGTCCTCAGAGGCATTTAAAAATACATTTACTGGTGAAAAATACAAATACAACACCAAATTCACCCCAGGGGTATAAGTGTGCCCCATTCATAGTAGTCAATGGAAGCTGCATCTATTAATGTTAGAGCAGAATTTGGCCTTTGGTATCACTATGCAATAAATACAGATTAGGCCAAGTAAAAAGGACACAGCAGTAGCTACAGGGAGAGAGGGAGGAGGGGCAGAGGTTGATAAAATTCTGCACAGTCTATATCTTATAGCATTTTAATGCAATCATAAATATGTTTCTTTTTGTCTCTGCATCCTTTAGACTCTTTTGGGAAATGCATGCTATAAGTTGAGACAATTATTGAATAAATATATGTCAATTAATAAAGGGAAGTCACCCCCAAGCTGTTTCATAAACTAGGGATGTTATTTAGGTGAGGGGTTTTTGTTACTATCTCATCCTTAAATCTCTTCCCCTGCCTCAGAAACCCAAGCTTCCCTCAGAAACCCACTAAAAATTCCAATGCCTCCTCTGCTTTTCTGGAAAAAAAACATTACATTTGTGGTAAACCCTCCCCAACAGCATGCTCAGAGAAAAACAATGAATATCTAAAAATGTGAAAAACATTTGAGCTTATTTTCTGGTTTTGGATCTCTCAGGCTGATTTTACCTCTCTCATTTTCTCTATTCCCAGTGTGAAAATATAAGAAATCACTATCCATTCCTGTGTAGAAGGCCAGCGATCCATCTTCACTAACACAATGTAGTTGAACAGCATCAGATACCCGATATATGCCAGCTGTAAGACAAAGAAAACTGCCCCTGGCATCAATAGCCACACAATAATAATTAATAATAATAGGGAACTTAGTGCCACCAAGATGGCTTTGTAACCTTAATTTCAAATTCTGACTATCATATTTCTGCAAACAGAGAGGAGTCATCAACTACAAATTAAATCTGCACTTCCTTGTTCGCTTGCTCAGGTTTGTCATTACCTGGTGTAAT